GAGTTTGCGTCCTGATACCCAAGGAGATTAGGTTATTGCCCTTTCTGAGGGTGCCGGCATCCACGATGTTGGCTATGTGGGTCATAAGGGGTCCGAGTTTAGGAGGCATGATGGTGGGCTTAACCCGGGTCGTCTTGAAGACCTATCGTGAGATCGTGAGGCTTACCACTATACGAGTGGATTTTGTTTGGTGTCTTGAGCGTACCGATAAGGTTGTATGTTGTTTCTGTGTGTAGAACCCAATGCTTGCTCTGCTGAGGCACCATGAACTTCATGCTGGTGCGGGCGGTGTGTAGCCCGTCACGAAGTAGTGAATTCATATAACTACAAGATCACCTTCATTCATAGGGGCTTCACTGAACTGAAGCCGCTCTTCCATAACGACCTCTTCCTGGAACCACTCGTCCGCCAATAGCTGACGCGCGGTCGGCCTGTCCCTTGGATCCAGCTTCATCAACTTGCATATGAAGTCGCGGTCCTTCCTAGGTACCTCCTCTTTACAAAATTTGCGGAAAGGCTTGTACGTCTCTGGTGGGCTATTCTCCATGGTATAAGTAAGGACCCCGAGCCGTGTGGCGCAACAGAGATCTACATATGAGTCCGGCCACGGTCCAAAGTGTCGAACATGCTTGAAGAGTATCTCCAATTGATATCTGTCATCGTCAAATGTTACATTGGGCGAGAAGATGTGGAAATTTTCGCCGAATATGAGACTGATGAGCTGTGGCGGAGTTAACAAAATATTGACGGGCGAATTTGCAGGTTGGGGTAAGTTACCGTGGCGCCCAAAGACCAGATGTCCATCGGCGGTCCCAATTCTAGTTGTAGCTGCGCCTCTGGTGCTCTGAAAATTGGGGTACCCATCTCTACGCCTTCGGCAAGATTCCTGTGATCTACCGGGTGCCAGTCTGCAAAATCTGCAAGCTGTACCTCCTTGGAGCGATCGAGTCCATCACCGAAGTTGGCGAGAATGTTGCTAGGTTTTATGTCTGTCATATCATCAGAATCACAGTCCCAACCTAAAGACAAGGAAGTGCATACCTGTGTGGACGATGCCTTCTTCATGCAACATCATCAACACCTCCAAAATACTCCTCGCAACATACTTCACCTCCCGACTGGTGAGCTTCCTAGCAGTGCAGATGTTGAGCATGTCATCATCGAGATGTTTCAGTACAAGTGCTTGCGGTTTCGAATGATCCTCGATCTCATCGATGACTGGGCGGAGGAATGGATTCCTGTTCTGGAAGCGCTTGAGAAGGTTCCATTCATTGACCAGATTCCCGGCATCCCCCATTTTGATAATTACATTCTCTTGATTGTCGTTGCTGCGAAGTAGGCTTAGCAACTTAATTCGCGAGGTTGTAATTGAAGCACTTACATTGCCCTCCATACACGATCTCTATACAATTGATGAGTGAGGGTGTAGCTACCAAGGTTTCCGCGCATTGTTTGTCCAATGAAGTACTTGGTTGCCATGGTGGAGGCCGCTTCGGCTGTAGTCTTGGTGATAGAAGCTACTGCGGCTGTTGCTGCCATATTGGGGTTCTATGTGGTGAGTACTATGACGTTGGGTGAGGTTCGTGTTAGAAGCACGGATTGCCGCGGTAGGGTCCCAAATCTGGGCCGCAACTACCTCCCGGGATTTTGCGCCCATGTGACGTGACACACGCTTGTTAAGACTTTATGCTTGCTACCTAGGTAATGTGAACTCACTCGAAAGAAATGATTTCATTCGTCGCGCGCTTGACATTCTCAGGCTTCTTAGATGGGTTTTCCATTTCCAGCGTAAGCACCTTTACCATTTGTACAAGGTCTGATTGCCTTCGTCAGCGTCTTCAGTGCATCAATCATCAATCTCGCTGTCGTTTGTGCCTCAGACGCCTAGGTCCTCCACCCTCAGTATCCCACTCCCAGTCCCCGCAACCGCCCACGTCCCAAACTTCAGATTCGGGTTCCACGCCACCGCCGTGATAGCCGTCGGCTCCTCATAAATCGTGATGTGTTTGATAGGTTCCCTGTTGGCAGCTCCCTTGAGGTTCCCCCTCGAGGACTGCAGCGAAGTAGCTTGGAGGCGATATCCTTCGGTGATACGCACCATCGGCTCTTGCAAGACCGCTTCGGGCACCTTCTTGATCGCTGGCTGGGGCCAACGGGGACGATGCTTGGGCTCACTTGCCTGCGGATCAGCCGGTGCAGGATCTTGATTATCGTCTTCATCATCATTGCCTTGCTGATCATTTACGGTGTTCTCTTCGTCTGCCTTCTTGACTTTGAGGTACAGCTTATCGACAGGCTGCCTCCACTCGTGCTTGAACCAGATCTGCTGCCACAGCGTCTCTTTCGAATTCAGTAACCTTCCCACTGGATTCCCAGCAATGGCTGCTCCGTCTGCGCAGCCAATCAGCACTCCGGGTTGCACAGGGCTTGCTGCGCAGCAAGTGATCTGTCCTATAGCCTTCATGTTGTAAATGTTCGTGAAGTAGCGTCGAATGGCGTTATTACGGAAGTTGTACGCCTCGTCAGACATGAGGAATGATTGCGTGTGCTCATGCCAAGCCTGTGAAGTGCTGAAGATTCGGCCGCGGCTTGACAATGCAGTGTCGGCAACGGGAGAACGTAGATCAATCAGTTTGGCGAACCCATCGGCGGTTGTAATGGACATGAAGGTTGGACGGGAGGGCCATCCTGACACGACGCTCAGAATGAAGGTGTCTGCAACTTGCTTGTAAAACCAAGGAAGGGGAGCCTGATAACCTTTTTCGTCTTCTAAGTTATGTCCAGAACTTGCAAAGACGTTGTCTCGAGTCAGTGTCCAGATTCCGACTGTACCCGCTGCTGTGCCAACGGCTAGTGAAGTGGGGGAGAGCCAGTGTAAACAGGTGGGTATGGTGAGTGGTGGGGAGACCTCGAATGCAGCTTGGCTATAATGAAGATATTGAGTCTCGTGGAAGTCGGCATGCGATTTCGGCCACGATATGTCCAAAATCCGCACTTTGCCATCAGACCAGATCCCTGCGAGAAGACCGAGATGGATCATGCCTTCTTTGAAGGACTCAGCAGACTCTGCGGGGGCAACGGGACACCATCGAAACCGTTTCGGCAAACCCCAATCCGTGCATAACACTACTTCAAGTTTCGGCTCTTTCGTCTTGTCCAATTCGCCGTCTTCTGTCGAGGTCAATGACCAAATTTGGATGGCGGACCGGAAAGCTGCAGTACGAGAGAATGCAGGAGCTTGAGGATTCTCCAATGGCGCGTGTTTGTGCACGTTCGTTAACTCCGGTTCAACAGCCACGGCGAGGTACTGGGTGTTCCCTTCCTCATTGGGCGCCCATTGAGTATCTTGAATCCGAGAACCGAGATGGAAAACCCACCCACGACGTTCCTCGTCGCCCTCTTTGAAGGGTATCGCGGTACTCATGAATGACCCCTTCGATAACGTGTACAGCTCCGGTTCTGGCATGGGTCCCATGAGCGTGTTGAGTTTATCAGGTCCCGCGGTCCTCAAGTAGATAGAGCCATTTTGCCTGTTCATTGTCTTCCTCTTCTGCCCTCTACGAAAGCTGTCCGCGCCAGATTCGATGTACCATTGCCTGAACCCCTCGATCTCCCTCAGCCTCGCATCTTCGCTGATGTAGTAAGACCTCCTGAGACCGCCATCTTCGCGACTAGGGAGCGCCTCTTGATGTTTCCAGCGCTCCCTCGTCTCTACCACCGGCACAAGGTTCTCGCGATCTGGTCCGAAGAGATCCTTCAGCCTGGTTTCCTGACCGAATCCTCGTACGCTGCGCTCAACGCCCTTCTTGTGCACCTTGTCTAGAGTTGGCCCGGCAATGCCCGTAGCGTTAACTCTCTCAGCGGCCCCGGACTTCTGAAATGGATTTTTTTGCTTGCGCCTAGGGCTCTTTCCGGTGATTACTCCTGTAGCAGCTAGTGCAGCGGCGGCGGCGGTCGATATGGGTTTCTGGTCCTTGCGCCGACCTTTGGGTGTGCTGTGCGCTAAGCTGCTGCGCCCAAAAGAGTCATCATCGCTCTCATCATCATCCTCCTCATCCTCAAACATATTGACATCATTCTCGAGTTCCTCGTCTTCTTGCTCGTCGTCTTGATCTGCAGTGTCGGGTTGGAAAGTATCTTCTTCATCGTCGTCGTCGTCGTCGTCGTCGTCGTCGTCATTGCGTTGTGCTTTTTCCACCGCACTCTTAGCCTCTTTTGATTTCCCAACGCTATCGTCGTCGTCCAGGTATCTATACTGGTCTTCCGGGCGGTAGTTGCGTGCAATGTTGCGCGACGTGCGACGTGATCTTCGCGCTGCATGGCACGTGTCAGATGCTGTGACTCGGGAGCGGAATCAAAAGGAAGGATGCATATGCTTACCAGAGCCCGCCATGTCTGAGGGTATGTTAGTCAGTTTATGAGGCCTAGGTTTTGACTTTGGTGCGGAGTGGAAGGCGAGAGGAAGGTGCGATTGATCGTAGACCGTGAAACCACAGCTACGGCGACCCCCCAGGTAAGTGGTCCGATCGGAACATGAGTGAGATCGAGGTTGTTCGCCTCATAGTATCGTGATCGCTTGGCTGTGGGTTGAGAGAGCCGTGGTAACGACGACCGTGAAGCAGCACATTCGTGGGTGCCAAGCGCGAAGATTTTTTGACGTAGTTTGTTAGTTATACAGCAAGCAAGGACTAGGCACTAGCTTGATATGTTACGTGCTTGTTTATGTATATGAGTAGAATTGATGAAGCCCGCGAGCTCTTGAGAGCCTTCCAGGGTTGATAGGAGGGTGGACAGCCAATGCAATTTAGGAAAAGCGCCCAAATCCCAGTCTCAGCCCCACCCGATCGGTGACTTGATTGAGCCCTTACCCCGCTTTTAGGCCCCAGTAGTCGGTATCCACCAGCATTCGTCCCTCAGCACATCTCGTTCCGCTCCAGCAGTCGCGTATATGGCCTATGTATTTGCTAACGCTCATATTTACCATCAATCATCAAAACTTCGGTGGTATGGTCTAGTGGTATGACGTCACGTTGTGGAAACACAGAACCGTGCCAGCCTGGGTATGTGCTGAATCACTCCAAGTGATTATGAACGGTTAAATCTAACAATATGTTAGGTTCGATTCCCAGTACCGCCATATGATTTCTTTTTGCACTTTTTGCACACCTAACCAGACATTTGAGAGCAATCCCTCCTGCGTATACCAATTTCTACTTTTTGGATTTCTGCGATGAAGCGAACGGCACGATTTGATGCGCATTGTAGGTGCGACACGTCCCCCAATGATGAATAACTTGATGCTCCGTAGAGTCTTCCCCTTAGGGAAACGGTGTGTTGAGAGTATGATCTAAATAACAAAGTCGAACTTGGCCTAGCATGTACATCGCGCATGGATCAAGCACCTGTGCCGCTAGATACACTATCACAAAGAGCAAAGGCCCGCTGCCTGAATGCAAATATAAGAGAACTCGCTTCCTCGGCCGATCATGCCCTACCAGAAGTCTTCTTCTTGCCCTTACTCTTATCGTAGTCCAGCACTCTCCTCTTGCGATGGTTCTGCGCCATCTTCCATCTCACATAAAGCATAACCGCATCCTTCACTCCGACGAACAAGCATCCACCCACCAGGCTCCTGCCCCAGTGATTTTGTAGAAATCCTGTCGGCTTACCAGTCGCTGGCGGTGTCACCCAGGCTTTGGGCAACGCGTGCTTCAGTGCTTCGCCAACCGCCGCTGCTACCGACGGGAATATAAGTGCGCCTAATATGGACTGCGCGGCAGACGTGGTATTCACATTCATTTGGCGCTCGACCCGCCTGCGCGGCTCAGGTCTTACGTTCTGGCCTGGCGCTTCTTGGTCCCTTCGCAGATTTATATTAGGCGCAGGTGCAGCATCGTCGACTGGTACAAGAGGCGGGGGTTCGTCATCTTCGGGAGGTGCGTTCAGAGGATGCGCAGGGCCGCGTCCGATGGGGACTGGAGGGTTTTCTTCGGCATCGTGGTTGTCCGCGTGCGCACCGTTATTCCAGGCGCCCAGGAGGTCGAAATTCATTTCGAGCTCGACGTGGTCCTCGACCATGTCGCCATCTTCTTCATCGTGGACATGGTCGTGCTCACCAATTTCGATCTCGATCTCGTCGCGCTCGCTGTCGATGCCGGCCCGTGGCTGGATCTCCTTGAGCCACTTCCGCTCTCTCGGCGCCCACACACGTTCGTAGTATGTGTTGTAAATGCTGCGTAGGTAGGGAAGAGCAGCTACAGTCATGGCTGCGCTGGGTGGCCAGGACAACTGCAACAGGTCTTCGTGCGGCTTGCCATCGCTGACGAAGAATATGAGGGGAAGGAAAGGAAAGAAGGAATCCGCGAGAGTAGATCGAGACAGCATCAGCACCGATGGAACTAAGGGGAGCCCAAAGTACAACCTCCAGTGATCTCGAATGGCGTTAAAGAACCTCATCGCCAGCCAGCCCTCCTGTGTCTGAGGAGGCTGAAAGAGCGGCACAAGAAGCTCACCGCCCTCCTCCGGTCCAAAGATCTGTAGAAGTTGTATATAGCCGATTCCGGAAAGGGAGCTGTACACCACGCTGCCGGCGAAGAGTCCCGCCCCAGGAATCAGACAATGAGCCGTCATCTTCTCGAGAAATCTCACGGATTCTATGACTACGTTTCGCGGGCGCTCTATGCGGATCTCCCCTTTGCACTGCGGGCACCGTATTGTACCTTGTCTCTCACCGGCGCGCCGCGTATCGCTGGGGGCTTCCATGTCGGCGACCCAGCGTAGCAAGCAGTTCTCGTGCGCGACCAGTACGCAGGGGCAGGGCGACCTCCATTCCGTTGCATCCAAGTCTTCTGTTTCGTCGTTGAGGCATATCCAGCATTTGCGGGGCTCGGCGTCTGCTTGCGCAGCTGAGCTCTCGACTGTGACTTCGGTCGTCTTCTGGATGCCGTCGCTGTCTTGTTTCGTAGCTTGGCGCGCTTGTGAGGACGTTCGGGGTGAGTTCAAGAGAACTGTCTGTGAGTCTTCCGAGGTTGCGGAGAAGCTGCTTGTGCGACCGGGATGCTCGTGCTGTGAGGATGCGGATGTAGGCGATGGCCGACGCTGCGACGCCGGACGCGGAGGAAGGGAAGCCATGGTGCGGACAGGAGGGCGAGGGAAATGTTCTAGGTACGGTGTATAGGATGTGTGCTATCTATGCATGGTGCTGGGTTGGAGGCAAATGTCGTTCGACTGCAACGCGGAGGTTTGTTTGTGCCAGGCCGACTGGACCCGTCCAGACGTCACCTCGTCTGTCACTCATTCACTGCCAAGACCGAATCCGCGAAAATGACACGAGACTGATTTACCCAGGCCGCAGCCGGGCGGTGACTTTTGCGCACTGGGCTCCTATAAGCTTCTCTTACACAAGATGGTTCATTCTATCCTAAGAGTTGCATATTTGCATGGAAGAGTGGTCTATGTCAGCAACAACGCTGCAAGCTTCCACAACTGGCTTCCCCATAGCTCGAAGGAGCTCTCATACCTCATTGACAACTTTTCATAGTGCTGAAACAGAAGCTCACACTCACTATGGACACTGTTACGTGGCATATAAACTTTGCGTTACATTTCGTATCTCCTGATAAATATATACTTATGGATCCTCCCATGTCGAGTGACTTTCTCTGGCGATGATTTTGGGTCGTAGCTGTCTCGGCGTACCTGAGACGATGTAAAATGCCTGTCGGGATGTATCGCTTCTGTCGACAGCTGGATCTTTGCCAAACAATCGGACAGACAGCACCCATGGTTGGATCCAGCACGCTGCAGCACCGCAGACGCCATCTTTCGGACAGCTCGAAACCACTTCTGGGTCTCAAAGTGTTGAACAACCTTGACCACTTTACCATTCCTCAATCTGAAACTCAAATGTCCGGTCACCCTTTCCCTTCTCTATCGGCTTCGCGTCCCTGTCGTACAACGTCCGCTCGTGGTAGAACACCTTCCCCTCTTTGTCAACAAGAACGACAATTTGTTTCTGGGTCCCGTAGCATCCACTTGTGGCATCGGCAGCTCTGTGCTTGACGAAATCGCCCACCTCGTGGGCTGGCATCTTCATCTCCTCGAGCTCGTCTTTTCCAAGCGCTGGAATGAAAATACTATGCCTCAGCTGGTTCATATACATGTCCCAATCTTCATTCTCTTTCTGCCTGGGCATCGTATCCACACTCAGAACATCCAGAAGTCTCGTGACCAGTTGATCTCGACTCTCCTCCTTCCCCAGGCTTTCCTTGATCGCGGCTTTGGTCCACTTTTCACCATTGACAACCTTCGGCCATGTCCGGTCGCCGTACGCAGCATTGCTGAGGGCATGAGTCTCGTGAGGCTTGTCCGCCAGACGGATCACGCCTTCGGCATCAGGTGTGCGATTCGAGATGATGGCGAGCCCCTTGCCCGCATGACCAATATCTTTCGCCAGTCCATAGCACAGGCTGAATCCTCCAACGCCTTTGACACCGTCCTCCTCCACTAACCGCTTCGCAAATTGCTTCGGGCTCTCGTTACTTTTCGGGTCTGATTTGAGCCACGCGTTGGGTATAAGACCTCGGCTTCGCGCTCCCTCGACGGGCTGCTCGTCGTCTTCGCGGTAGTTGGTTAGAACGGCAATCCGACCCTGGAGCGTCACTCCTAGCCAGGTGCCGTGAGCTGGTCGGTGCAGGTCATAGCCTCCGAGGACTTGGGTGTCGGGTTCTGGCCACCATGTCGCTTCCGCTGTTGGTCGGTGGAGATATTCCTGAGGAATGTTAGATTTTGAGTAGAGTGAGCTCCGGGGCATAGTGAACTTACGTCTCGATTGTTGAGAAGTATGAAAGGATATTCAGGATGCTCAGTAGTCACGATAGCGATGCACATGTTGCCGACCTACTGGACGAGTCGCTGACCGAAAGTACCTTGAGTCGATTATCTTCACCACACGCTTGGAATGAAACGAAGTCGTGACCAGGAAATATATGGTGTCGCTACAGGTTCCACAACTCGGATACACGGTCTGGGCCTAACGTGGGCTGGGGATGTGCTTGTGAAAGCTAGGCGGTGTGATTGACAGCAAGCCCTTACTTATACACGTCGCTCCGACATCATGGCTCCGGTATAGCCCGTGTTGCGAAGGAACTGTCACGATAACGTTGAACAGGGTAGGTAGCTTGCGCCTGCGATGGTGGAAATTTGTGGAAAAGGCGTACCACTGTTAATTATTCACCTCACCTGACTGGAAGACTTTCCGATCTCGGGAGGGCGTCTCCATGGCCGTTGCCATCCTAGGAGCCGGCTTGTGGCTGTGATGACCCTGAAGAATGGATACGATCGGAAGCCAGAGACCTATTATGGTGGTGTTCATGGACCTCACCTCGCAGTGATATCTACAAGACGTGTCCAGATATCGCGAACGAGGGAGTGCAGTTCGGCAAGAGGGTTGCTTTTACGCAACGGGCGCTCATCCCTGTCGGTTGCAGCTTCCCGAGCGTGATCCCTGTTCCCCAAAACGCGTCACTCAGCCCTACCTTCGTACGCCCCTCTGCGTGCTTCTTGAAACGTCTCCTCCACATCCTCTGCTTGCCCAATACTCCACTCCCAAAGACCGCTCCGAAATGGCCAACTTCGCGCCATATCAAGACACCCCCGAGATCCAACGCGCCCTGTCCCCACCCGCCATAGGCTCCCCACGCATCGCCTCCCCGCGCACCTCGCTCGATCGCACCCGCAACATCGGCACCGCATCGGTGACCTCGCCTCCAACTCAGAACTATGGCCAGCGGGATTACTTCCAGAGCCAGCAGCAGCAGGAGCAACAGCAGGAGCGCGTAGCGTGGAACGCACCTGGCGGTTTCGGTAGGCCGCGAGAAGATGTGGATATGTTCGAGACCCGATTAGGGCTGCGAATGGATTATGAGGCTTGCCTGGCGTACCTGCTACTACCGCCGGCTGGGGGCGTCCTGCTGCTGGTGTTGGAGCACAAGAGCGATTATGTGCGGTTTCACGCGTGGCAGAGCAGTCTGCTGTTTGCGTTTGTCTTTGTAGGAGAGGCCTCTCTGACATATGAGAAGAATGAAGGCTAATCGTGTGTGCAGGTGATCCACGTCATATTCTCGTGGTCGAGTATTA